CTGATTCAGTGAACGCCAGTGTCAGTGTATGTACTGATTCAGTGAACACCAGTGTCAGTGTGTCACTGTCAGTAATTCATTGTTTTCACCGAAACTGCACATCCCTATATATTCCAAGCCCACACCAAACTCTCCAAAAATAGACAGTGACTAGGAATGCGACATTTCTTTGCCTTGAAAGTCGATGGCTCGATTATAAATAGTTAACAGAGTCCGACTGTTCGAAAAGACTTTTTGCATGTTATTTCGAACTGAAATAAATAAAACTTATATTGTCATGCATATGAAAAGATTTTCCTATAAAATGATACAAGAACGGATAATTTTCTGTATCCTTTATTCTTCAATATAAATAGATATTTAAGAATATTTGGAACTTCATCTTGTTTCTCAATAACAAAGAGGAAAAAGAAAAGCGTTCTGTTTGTGTTCGTAAATGTACCTAGAGAGAAACGAAACATCTAGAACATCACTCCCACTCACAGTGTTTGTAAAAATGATGATGACTATTATTACTAAGGCATAGATTGAACAATTATCTCAATAGAAGTATTCATTTTTAGAATCAGTGATTATTGCCAGACATTAGTCGATAACTACAGTATCACAAAATGGTGAATTTGAATTTTTCATAATCATGTTGATCTCATCCGGACGTTGACGGTCTCTTTTTAATAAAAAAAATTATGATTTTTGCTTCGTCAGTTTCTTATGTGTAATGTTTAATAAATTTGAATGAAAAAAAAAAAGAGAAATATGAAACCAATACAATGATTGTTATTATTGATTTGACACTTAACAACCAAAGTGCTTTAGTTCTGTAACTTTTTTTTTGATTGTTATTCAATAAATTGGCGGTACAGTTTGAGTTTCTATCCAAGCTCGTTGTGATGCTGGTATTTGCCATTGTTCAACCTATTAAAAAAAAATATTAAAATAATACTAATTAGTTCATATATTTTGATTGAATTTACTTGACACAATTTTTTCCATTGATTTAATCGAACTAACAATTCATTAGCATGTTTTACTTCTTGTCCAATATCAGTAAACATAAGTAGAACAGTAATAGGTATTTGTGCTTGTTGTCTATATAGAAAAATACAAATAAAACTAAAAGAAATTTTAAATCAAACAGAATTTTAATTTACGCAGTATAAAATAATCGATTAGCAATACCACCCCCAGCAATATAATATCGATCACGATCTCGTACAATTTTATGATGATTTTTATCTTGTCGTTCTTCTAATGCAATCCAATTAAGATCATTTGAATTGATTTCTGTTGTTGATAAATATCGAAATTGTTCCCTAATAAGAATAAGTGAACGAAAATGTCGTTTTTCATCTAGTATTTTAAAATATTCATACCCTGTTAATTGAACATCATTACGTTCAACTGCATTAAATGCAGTTAAAACAATAATTTCTTTTAATTGTTCATTTTTAAAAAATGCTAAAAGTTTATCAACAAATTCTTGTCGTTTACCCGATACAATATTACCACGTTGTTGAATAACAAGTATTTTTAAATTTTGTTCTTCGTAAACTATGATTAAAAAGAAAAACAATTATTGTTTTGTTTCTATTCTACTTATTAAAATTCTATTTTACCTTCAATACCAAATGCTAAATTTTCTCTATTTGTATTTTCATATGGATCATAAGCGATTACTGGCTCCACACATGTCCAATCAAGACTATGAACACTTTTCATATGTAAAGTATTAATCAAGATATCCACTGCTAATTGTCCAACATGACAATGACAAATGGATGGCTAAATGATAGAAAATTTAAAAACCAACGATGAACAACAAATCACCATATTCTTACCATAACTAATGTATATCCTTTCCAATCTTTTTTTTGTGTTTCTGTCATTTTTAGAATCTGAAACACAAATCTAAATAAAATATTGCTAAAGAAAAATTCAAATTATATTTTATACTTTATTTTAAATTTAAAAAATACACAATAAACTCATTTATAATGATAGTACAATGTCATGATTACATACGTGTATAGATAAAGAAAATAATCAAAAAAAGAAAAATAATAATACATCCAATAAATATCAAAGAAAACACTCATATTGCATATCACAACAAAAAGAACTTTTAAATACAACAAAGGAATGATTATTGTTGTGTTTTAGTCTATTTTTGGTTTTGTAAATCGTATAAGTGTTTCTGGTGAACGATATAAGAAAATAACTTTAGCAAAAAGTTGTTCTTCAATACATAACATATTATGTTCTCGAACCAAATAAATATCTCGTAAAAGTTGCCAAAAACGTTCAACACTTGGTAATTCGTTAAACATAATTGTTTGACTTGTTTGCAAAGTTGTACGTAACAATCGTGCAACAACAATTACAAATGTTGTATATAAACCAATAATCCTATTGAAAAACAGAAGAATTATTTAGATTAAATTAAACGTTTATTATTCTCTCTTTTTCTCTTAACAAAATTACGAAAGAAAATATAAAATTTTGTAGCTACAAAAAAAAACAAACAGAAAGCAAATAGATCACTGATATCTGAATAACAAAAAAAAAAAACAAAAAGCAAAAGATTTGACTATTGCGCATTTGTTGTCTCTCGTGTCCAATAGAGTAACAATTGTGGATTACGATAAATATAAATTAAACGATCAAAAAAATCATTTTCAATTTCATATTCATGAACAGTTCGTAATAGATAAATATCATTCAAAAAGTGCCATAATCCATCAACTTGTGGTAACTCATTAAACATAATTGTATTCGTTGTACCAAATAATTCACCACGAATAAAAGTTGCAGCAACAGAAATGATTGAAATGTAGATACCAATAATACTACAGAGGATTTACATAAGAGAAAATTTTTTTTTATGTTTCCAAAGGATTAACCATTAGAAAAAAAAATTTTGTCAAAATAGTAAGAAGAAGAAGAAGAAGAAGAACAAGCTACTATTGCTATTATAATAGAGAAAAAAACATGAGCAAAGAAGTCAAACATATCAATATATATTTATAATATACATATAACAAATTAGAAAAAAAAAATGAACAGAGCATGCAGTGAACATTAGTGTGTTAATTTATAATCGAGCAAAGCTAATTAAAAAAAAAAACCTATTGAAAAACTCACCCATAACGAGTAAGAAATGAAATGTTAGCTGGTGAAATTTTATCATTGAACAAAATCATAGTCATAAAATTTTGACTGGGAGAAGAACCTTTGAAAAATACAAAATAAGTTAAATAATTGATTATTTCTAATTGTAGACAACTCCTCAACATTTTATTCCTAATTGCTACTACAGTTCAACTTTCCATATGTAAGTTTTAGGCTATTTTCTGTTTGTGAAATTTGTCAGTTTTTGTAACAGTTTTTCCTATAAATACTCTGAAAAGATTTTTTTTTTTTTTTGGTCAAAAACACTATGTTGCATTCGATTCAGTTTATTAATTTATAAGTATTAACTTTTTTCAACTCACATGACGGAGAAACTGTATATAGTGTTCGATTTTCAGACATTTCCCACCAAACTTCAGTACTATTTGGTATTGATCTTGTTCGATTAAGACCCATGGTTATATTAGCATAATATTCCGTTGAAAAAACTAAATAAAATTATGTAATAATACAACGAAAAAAAACTAATATGATTCAGATATAAAAATACCCTTCTTGAATGAATCAATATCTTCAGGTTTTGCTTTTGGTTTAACATGTAAAAATCGTGGCATTAAATTACGAATAGTAAATTCTCTAAAAAGAAAAATAAATATTAAAAGGAAATCTTGAAGAAAAGAAAAACATACGTCGATGTTTGTGCATCAAAAGTTCCATTAAGTATTTCAATAAGTGCATTTCGTGTTTGTTGATCTTCTTCTGGAATATTAACTGTATTTTCACCTGTTACAATTGCTGTAATATCTTCTGAATCATCTTGATTTGGTGGATTACGTGTTATTGTATATGAAAATCGTACAGGTACTGTAGCATTTGATCGTAAACTATTTACAACAATATCACGTATGGGTTGACTTATTTTCCATAGACTAACACTTGTTGAAAATAAATTTACACAATGAATATCATTCGGATTAAAATCACGTAAAAATGCGTAAGCAGTATCCTATATAATTTTTTTTTTAAAAAAAAGAGAAGCAAATAATTTAAATATCAAACAAATTTACTTCAATTGTTGATGCGACAGTTGGTAAATAAATTGATGTACGTAAACTATTGTAATCTGCAGATGTATATGGACGTATATCAGTATCTTGTGCTGTCATTTGATAAATTGGCTATAAAATCAAAAGAATTTCAATTGACAAAGAAAAACAATGTTTTTTCTACTTACCAAATAACCACCTAATTTAACTTCAACATTCACTTCTGTTGGTGGATTTGGTTGATAAAATGATGAAGTAAATGAAAAGAACAATAATGGAAACCATATTAATAAAATTAATAAAGCTAATAATGAACCACCAGTACCATATTTTGTTACTTTTGTTCGAGGAACACCACGTTTTGTTGGATATTTCTAACAACAATTATTAAATTTTTCATCACTTATAGAATATTTCAAAAGTAAGCCGTGAAACAAAACTGCTATAAATCTTTAATGCTTCAAGCGATTGATATAAGATATTCATGATTTTATGGAATATTTTTGGAAGTTTTATTTTATATAATTTTACTCAATAGCTATTATTTGAAATGATCAGTATCAACGATCATATGAAAAACAGTAGTTATGAGTGAGTTCATATGAAATAATACTTCGGTGAATATTCTATGAAATCATGACAATCTCATGTGTGTCAGTTATTATTTCACGGCTAACTGTCGAGACATCTTGCTATTGTTTACGTTTTCTGCCCATCTTGCACATTTAAGTAAATAAATATTTGAATAAACATCTTCTAATTGTAACCAATTTGTTAAACCAAGTGCCGTATCTGTAAACATCCAATCCATAATTGTTCGTAATTCAAGTAAAAATGGAATTAATAAATAACTAAAAGAAAATAATTTTGAAATTTTTTTTTTCATAAATAGATTTTTACTACAATTCTTACATTCTATATAATATTTGATTAAAATAATTAAAACGTTTCATAAGAAAATTTCCTGCAATACGTTTTGGATAACCTAATCGTACTTGTATTGATGAATAACCAAAATAAATACATTTGAATATATACCAAAATTGAGCAGCAACATTATCACGAAATTTCCTTTTATAATGAAAAGCTTTTTAAAATTTTCAATAATAAAAAACAAAAAATTATTTTCCATACATTCGAGTTATTCCGGGTAAAACAAAAAATAACCATATATGCACAGCTATCACTTGAAATAATTGAAAGAATAATTTACCACGTACATTACGACGTAAATAAAGTGCACGATCAATTATAATTAAGATAAACTGAACTAATAATATAATAAGAAAAGCCACAGGAACCTATAACAATAGTTACTAATAAAAAACAACAGCTAAATAAAATATAGATTTTTTTTACTTTATTTTCTTGTATGGTTTGTACAACACTTCCACCGCTTCGTTCCTAAAAAAGAGTTTTAGTTTTTTTAATAAAAAACAAGAAAATGAAAGGAATAGAGGTGCAAATAATAGAAAACCCAATCCGTGGAAAAATTTTGTTTCAATCTCAAATAATTAAATTTCAATCACTATATGTGATTTATTACCCTGGAGATTCCTCTTAGCTGTAAATAGAAGAAATTTTAAAAATAACAAAAAAAAATAGAATGTTAATTATTCCGAGGTACATACACCAAATTGACTGTAGAAGATTATAACAATGAACATATTAATAAAATCACAGAAGAACATTGGTGCATAAACATCACGAACAAATAATGCTTGTTTAAGTTGACGATAAAATTTTATAACTGGTTTCATAAAATAAGTATTACTAAAGAACACAAGAGAATAAAAATATTATCTCAATAAAATAATATAAAATAAAACTAAGCTAAAAGAACACGTGAACATGCTCGACTAATAATCTTTTCTTGCGTGTATTAAGATTCATACCTCATCTTGTATATAAATCTGTTCATAATTCATATATATATATAATATAAGAATCAATTTTTAAAATACTCACCGTTTTAGTGGTGTTGTTTCTAAGGGCTTATGGGATACTTGTTGTTGTTCACCATGATCAGCATCTAAAATCACTGAATCTAAATATTTCGTAAATGACATATGCACAATATACTGAAATATTCTTCGTCAAAAGTATATAATCATTAGAAAACTGTTCTCTTCTTTCGACAATTTAATGTTGTATTAGATTGTTTTATACAAATTTTTACAATCTCAATCATACGTCGAAAGTTTCATCTAAGACGAATATTTTCTTTCTTAGATAAATGTACATGATAAGTGGATTTTTCTGAATTTCTACTAAAATGTACACATTCCTTAAGGATCTAATGTCCTAAGAAAAAAATATTCCTTCTAGCTGAGCTTTTCGGCTTATGATATAAAGTCAAAAGTACTCAAACAACTTTCACATCCATACAATGATTCAATCATTTCGATTCCATATGATATTTTGCGAATCAAAATAGAACCATCAAATTCTATTTATAAATCGAGAAGGAAGCAACAAAGAAACAAATTGTTATTAAGTTTGTCTACTTTCACTAGTTTCTACCTAATGACAGAAGTCTCGTACGTGAATCCTTTTATGATATGGAAAGAATCGCTCATGAATTTCTCTATCCTTAAAGTTTTCGTTAGCGGCAAATAAAAAATTTAATCATTTACGTACTATTTGGAGTCGTTCGTCCTGCTTTCCAAAGTCCGAGTTGCTAGAAAAAAAAAGAAATAAAATATGAGTTTCAATAATATTCTAACTTATACTTTTAAAATCGATCGATGAAGAAATAAAGATAAAAGTAAAATTAAATCAGTAACAGAAGCAGAATTTTCTTTCCGATTAATACCAATAATATTTATTGCAGATAATGGACGTACATCTACTGCATCAGCATACCATGGATAAAATCGAAATTGAAATATATATTTTACTACAATCATTGCTTCTGTATAAGTTAAAATAGTAATCCAATAATTTCGTGATGGTCGATTTGATAATGTAGCCCAAAGAAATATTGATAATGGTAATGGCATCGATAAAAGTGTACCTGATGTTAAATGATTTAGTATCATAGCTGAATAACATACGAGTTCAGATCGAGATATTATAAAATAAAATAAAGACTCGCATAACCGATAAAAACGTGAATGTTGACTTAAATCACTTGATTGAGATACGTTTCGAACAAGAACATTTCTAAACAGTAATAGAAAATAATAGAAAGGAAAAAACCTAGAAGAAAATTTACCGGTTTGGATAATCACCACCAGCCATTTGATCAATGTTGATTACGGATGCCTAGATGAAAATACGATTGAAAATTTTTAAGAATAATGTTAATAACAAATAATTTTTTACTTGGTCAGCACTTGTTTCCATTCGTATACATTCATGTTGTAAAACTTTATCTGCAGATTTCATTTCAGCTAATTTATTTAAAACTTCTCGATAATCACGTGAATTACGATTAAATAAATTAATAAGATAATCAACAATAATCCAAATAATTAAACGAATTTTAATGAAAATTATTTTTCGTTTTATTATAGGTTTTTCTTCTAATGAAAATGAAAATAAAATCATTAAATATTCTACAATGTATACAAAAAAAAAACCATAATAGGCTACCTTTAGATTCAACAGATGTTGCTTGTTCTGGAATTGGTGAAAGTGGTATAACTTCAGTTGTTGTTGCTGGTAGTGGAACAGTTCGAGATGTTGTAGTTAATTCTTGAATATCTGATTCAATAACAGATGATTTTCGATATTCTTTAAGAAAAACAAACAAATACAGATATTTACGAGATCATCAAGCACGAAGTTTTTCAAAAAGACCCTTACTTTCAACAATGTCAGAAGCACTTTCATCTTTATCATTTACTGCTAAAGCTTCAAAAATCTATAAAATCAAAACTTTTTTTTAGAGTTTTTTTGTTTGATTATCTTTTTTCATTAATAAACCTGTTCTTCAGCAACAGTAGCTTCGTCTGGTTTTTCTTCATCTTCTTGTTCTTCTGATTCATATTCAAACATATAATAATCGCCCGATCGAATAGCTGAAATAACACAATAAAGTTTTTCTTTTATGTTTATTTTAGACAAACCTTCAAAATGCTCAGATGTTTCCAAAAGTCCAGTAGCACTTTTACTGTTCGATTGATTTAATTTTGATTGTTGTTCTTTGATACGTTGTAAACTTCTGGTTATTTTTGATACAGTTTGTTCTTCACGTTGACGATCTTCTTCTATTCGTTTACGTGATATTTCATTAAATAAAACTGCACCTTGACTAGCTAATTTAGCTTGAGAACGAAGTTCAGTTACGATATGTTCCCAATAATAACTGCCAAATATTCGTTTTTGCAATAATAAAAATATCATACAAACACCATCCCTACAGATTATACAAAGTTTTTACTGAGCAATAGTCGTAATGATCTTTCATAAAGCAAAAGATCAAAACATATTAAAATTTATAACACATATTTGAAATCTCTTCTCTCGATATATGATTATTAGCAATATACAACGTGAAGCTATTTTGAGATTCTGATTCTGTCCCAGTAATCTCTTTTTTTTTTGTAGTACAGATGGTAATTTTTGAAGTCCGTCGGATCTTAGATTTTCAGATGCTGGTATGGGACCAAGCCGATAGAGTATATTGCTTTTGAGAATTTTGTTTGTAAATCTCCCTCATGAATTTATAGAACTACTCATTACCTGTAGAAGATATTTTATTTCTCTCAAATCTTTTCATCAAAGGTTTTAATCAATGTATATATCAATAAAATTTTCAGTGCATTGACTTATCACTATTAAATCATATTATTTACATGAAAAGGCTGGCATCGGCAGCACTACGTCCACATTGTTCATTGACACCTAGAATTGAAATAGCAGACAAATGAATTAAAAATTTCTTTCCGAATAAAAACAAGTAGATTTAATCATATATACCATTATAGGACCCAGGACAAGTATTTGGAGGTTTAAAATGAGATTTTAAGCATGGTACGAACAAATCCACTAATGTGCAAAATGCAGACGTGCGTGATGCTGTCGTACAAGTTGACGATGGATAGAGAAATATGCAAACCACCACCTAGAGAAAAATTACCATAAGACAATATAATCAGATTTAAAGTATTTCGTTTGAACAAAGAAGAGGAAACATGCTTGACGAAAAATAAAATGTTTATCCCCAAAGAAAATCTATACATTCAAGAAGGGTTTGAAAAAAAAAAGAAAACCTGTTGAAGGAGTACTGCTATAATCATTGAATCTTTGAATGCCTGGTTTTAAACAAGCTATTGTAAAGATTTGCTGTAAAAAACATTGAGTTGATAGAATACCAACACAAGCGACAACCTGAAAAGGTTCATTGCTCCTTTATCTATTATTATTATTATTATTATTAAAGAACAAAAACAACACTCCTCTTAACATTTCTCTTGACATACCTGTAAACATGTTTTTACCAATATTACCAAAAAACAATAATAAATTAAATAATTCCATCTAAAAATCCAAAATTAAAAACAAGATAAATATGTTTTTTTGGAAATTATTCAACATACAATCGAAGCATCATTGTAACACGTTTTGTTAAAAAATCTTGACCATACCAAAGAAAATAAAAACATGCAATAAGATAACCAAGACCAAGTAAACTAATACGTGTTGTACCAGCAAGATAAAGGATTGCTAAAACACACCATGCACCATACATAAATATAGCATATTTGATGTGATCAAACCAGTGTCGTTTATTTGTTACAAAATCCCATGTTGGATTATTCTTATAAACGTCATCATCATAGATTATTTCACGATTTGATCCACCAGCATCAGTATATACATGATCTTTTTCATTAGCTTCATATGCAAATACACGCCATTGTTGGCAAGCAAATAAAAATTGAAAAAAATCAGCTAAACAATTTTTTAATACATGAAAAAATTCAATATCTTTAAAAAAAAATATTACTAATTAATTGCGTTGCTAAAGGTTGATCTACATAATCAGGTAAATAAAGCCAATTTTTTAATTGTGGCCAACCCTTTATGTTAACATTTGTCCATGGATATTCTACAAATGATTGAAAACTTCATTAGACTTTTCAAAAACAATAATATAAAGTCAGTCCGCATCGTTAACGGAACAAACAATAATGAGCAATTATTTCCTTTGAATTGTCTTCTATATATGTATACAGTGTTAAATAGATATGTACGAGATCAAAAAGAAAAACTTTGTCTGAATCACAACTAAAGACTATAATTCCTGCTCGACGCCTTTTCAGAGCAATTAAATTCTCGAAAAATTGGGACGTTAATCAATATATTAACGTCAAAGTATGACTAGTTCTTTATGGCTTTGCACTAAAAGTCTTAATCGACTGAGGTCAATATTATTTCTAGACATTTAAAATCTTAAAGATTGCTTCGATTATCAGAAAAATCGTTTTTCATTAAAAATTTTCCATTGTCGGGAAGGAGAGGTTATGCTTTTGAGAGACTTATCTTATGAATCAAAACATAATTTCAGAGAAATAACAAACATAGTGCTGCTCATCAAATAAATAGGTTTTGAAATAATATTCTCTAGAGCAGAACCAATTTGGTCTCGCACATCTCTAGTGTTGAATTGTAGTACTCTACGACATATCGTTTATATCATAAGAACAGACATGTTGAGAGCTCTTTTAAAATCATGATGACGACCATCTCGTTGAAACATATGCAAAAACTCACCAAAGCAAAGAATTGGTGGTGCACCAACAGCACTCAAATATTGCAATAAAAATGAAATAATTTGAAAGAAAATATAAATAGGCCATATACGTTTAATGAATCGTCGACTTGAAATTAAAAATAGACCAAGCCATATTGCATAAAAAACGGCTATTACATCAAGACGAACACCAATGACAATAACAGTTGTTACATAACATATCTGAATAAAAACAATCACAAATAAGTGAATAAAATTTTAAAAATATTTTCTTACTTCCAAACCAAATCGATAGAAAACAAAATTTATTAAATATTTTAAAAAATCAATCACACTTTGATCAGCTTGTTGATAACTATTGATATCATACTCATAAGTATCATCTTGAAGACTTTTTAATGCAAACGGTTCAAATATTATTGGAAAACGATTTTCAATAATGTGAACATTAAAATGAACTGATAGTTTTAAACGACGATGTCTTTGTCGATATCGTACAATTGCATCAAAAGTTAAAACAATTGTTAATAGTATATACATCTACGACAAAAACAATGTTTCTCTTAATACTTGAAAATAATACTCATTTTTTTTTTTTTATTTACTCCAATAAATCGGTCAATATTGGTTGTCAATTCAAGACCAAACCATTTTGCTGTATCATTAGGTATCGTATTAGAATTTGGATCAAGTGTTCCATTTGGAGATACCTTAATGAATTATTCAAGCATATTTCAAAATTAAAGTCTTCTGTTTTTCTTCTTACTTGAGAACAATTTCGAACAAAAATATTTTTTTCAATTATTTGTTGTTTTGCTATTTCTAATTGATAACACATTGATGCAAGAATATAAAGACCAGTCATAATCAATGTTAATAAACTAATTAATGATCGAAGACGTAATAATATTAAACCAAGTATTGTTAAAATAATTAATGATATGTTAAATGCACAAACCTAAACAAAAATAACAATGTACAAATAATTTATATATTAAAAAAATCAGAAAATCCTATAGAATATTTGACTTACTTTGAGTACAGAAACAAGAACCATTATAAAAAGAACAAGTTTATATGAATGTAATTCAGCAAAACGCCAACAATAATAAACTATTTGTTTATGTAAACGATTTGTTCGAAAATAAAATTTATATAAAGATTCTTGCCAAGTTTTTGGTTCATTTTTTAATATTTGTTGACTATGAGGACTATTTACATTTTCAGTATTTTCTAAATAAAAATTAATAAAAATGAACAATAAAACTATAATGTAAAGATATTTTACCTTTGGCATATGCATGAATATCTTTTAATGTACCATTTGCTGGACCTTGAATATTCTTATCACTAGAAAATTACAACAAGTTAAAACAATCGTTTCTTCAATTGAAAAACTCAGAGATACAACAAAAAATAGAGATCACTCATGTTTTTATTCTTTTCATGATGGTAATAAATATTTTTCACATTTAAAAGACAGTTCGTAACGAGAGAAATACGATGCTTAGCATTTTGATTATATATTTTAAAGCTTATATATTGAATGATGCAATACAAACTATTATTGTCTATATAATTAGTATACAGAGACAGCTGTGGTGAAAAGTTAGGTGTACGATAATGTATAACCAAATAAAAGATTCAATAAAACGATCGTATACATTACTGATCTCACATAAATCCTTTTATGACATTGTAAAATTTGTAGAAAGTACGAGTTTATTATTCGATATTAATCGTTACTAAACAATCTGATTGAATCCGATCATCGTTTTAGGCTCAACAATGGATTCAAACAAGTATGCGTGTCATCCTCAGGAGCAGCGTAAAAAACTAATTTTTCGAATGTGAACTTGAAATTTTGCACACAGATAGGTCTTCAACAGGATAGTTTATTATGAAAGTTTGAGATCTTTAAATCGTTCCTATTATAAGATACCTATCTAGTACATCATTCATATAAAATCATAGGTAGAGTCGATGTTCTTATTTCAGGATAGAAGCAGATCAACAGATTTGACATTTTTACAACAAAATATTCTATTTAAGCTCGATCTCAGTGCAAAAATTTCGATGTTCATGAAATGCACAAGGATTCTAATTTACAAAATATCATAAAAAGATACTGTCGTGGAATTTATCAACTGAAGGATTTTCCATATAAATAGTTTTAAAAACGTTTCAGTTTTTTTATACGAGTCCACTTGTTTAATTAGATATTATTCAATATAAAGCTGATTTTTTTTTTGTGCTCTAGTTTAATCCGCATTCTTTAAATTAATAAAATTAATTTTAAAAACTGATTTTTTGGATAAAATGAAAGTTAATTTATAAGAATTTTGAAGAATATGTAAGAGAATTACCTAGGCATTGTAATTAAATTCATCCATCCAGAATGAAAATAATAAAGTTGCATTATATTAACAATAAGAAATGCACTTGGTGTCAGTAATCGAACAGCCAAAACTTCTGATGGAACAAATTCAAGTCCAATTGATGCAAGTCTTTAAAGACAAGAAAAGATAATGAAATATTTATTTTTCTTGTAATCAAAACTTACAATTCTTGACTAAGTCTTGCTGATAAAAATTCCTTAACTACTTCAAACTAAAACATAAAAATCTATTTTACTATTATTCAAATTATTTAAAAATATTACTTGATAAATATATAATCCTATCAAAATAATCATTGAATAGATAATAATCGTTAAATGAAATGTAGATGCTGTTCTACGCCAAAATCCAAATGAAATCTTCAAACAAAAAACATCATTTTTATCATATTTTTTTACAATTAAAGTTTTCTTACTTGAAATGAAAGTATGAAAAATAAATAAAAAACCATATAGATTATTTGATAAATCACTACTGAACTTCGAATACTAACAAGTAAAATCATTCCACATGAAACAAATATCCAATATTTTGTTAAAAAATTTATAAACCATCGTCCTACGACACACCAAATTCTGTTTAAAAAAAAAAAAGTTTAATATTTCTTACCTAATCGTCCAGTATATGAATCTGCTGAAATACTGAATCGATGACCTACAAAAGAAAAATCACATAGATCCAAATCCTTTCTTTTATTACTCTCAATTTATTTCATTGATCACTAACCTTCACTTGACGGAAGATTAAGATTTCCTCTTCCACTTATATATTGTCGAAATGTTAAACAAAAAACCATCATATATATTGACTACAAGTAAATTAAAATTCAATCTTAATTTCCTTTTTTTTTTGTTTGTATTAGCGCATACTTTAACAAGTAATGGAATAAATGCTGGACAATCATCATTTGTTCGAATACCAATTTGTTGCATTGTACGACGATCATAAGCGAATTGAAATTGATCAAAACTTATTTTAAAACCACTTATATATTGTAATATTAATAATATTCCACCATAAATTGTAAAAAATGGACTCATTCTTAAACACCATTTCCGAGAATCGGGTAATACCCATAGAAGACATGCCCAAAGAAGAAATACTAATGTTAATAAACTATGAAATGTTATACTCCATGCCTAAATCAATTTATTTATTAGAATATTAAAATGAATTAGAATTCAATTTTACTTTACCAGCATAACAATTAACGATAATAAATAACTTTGTCGTTCTAATATATGAAGGAACGATAATACGACAAACATTATTCGTCCTTGCCATGTTTGATCATTAGATTGTTCAAAACTCCATCGAGTTTGTAAACTTCGAGAACTTGGTTCTAATGTATCTAGTCTTTCGACAGTGGCAACCAAACTCTATAATATATACAAACCAGAGATAATAAAAATGAATAGAATAATGATAAACGAAGCTTTGGCATCAAAAAACAAAAGAAGTAAAGGAAAAAAATTAATATTTGAAAAAAAAGCAAATCTTTTTGCATAAAAATCGGACTTGTTCACATAATAGTTTCAGCACAGCAAAATCGAATACGAAGAATAACTAAATTAATCATGGTAAAGCAATGAAAAGTTCAGCATCAAGAAAACTAATCTGAAAGTTAGAGCTCATATGAATACGAATTTTAATCTCTGACAATGTAAGTGAATATATAATTAATTAATTATCAATCCATATAACAGAACTAGTCAATCCTCTGCGAAAACAAGCATTACCATGAAAGCTGATTGTCGTCACATTGGATCAGTATTCCAAAATGCACATACAACATTATGTAAATTTCTAATAAATATTAATTGATACAAAAAAAATGGAATCTACACTAATATATGAAAAATTAATACTGGATGATTGTAGAAAAAGAACTAATTAAACAATATTTTCGAATAATATTCATTAATTTTTATCGCTACTTACTATTCGAACATACTGATTTACATCAATCAATGGTTTAGAATATTTTATTCTAATTCTTTTTTTTTTTTTGTTTTATGATTTCTACACACTGAATAAATTCTATCTATGCACACGGATTCTCTTGGGAACTTGACACTTCCATGCCAAAGCAATTTTTCTGCTAAATTTTCTTGCACTGAACTTTCCATGGTTAGCACTCTGTACTGAATTTTCACCAACCTTTCTTGTACGTTATTATTTTTGTTTCAATAAATAGAAGTCTATTTTATACAGAAGTGAAGAAAAGCAGGCACGCAATTTATATAGAAATGCAAAAGAAAAGAATTAGGGCAAACCTGTTTATCGACACTGTGACGAGAATTTATCTAGTTAATTTACACACACAATATGAGACAAATAATAAAGTATCAAAAATCAAACGTGACTTTATTTTCTTGAATTCTCAATAGCTTTCTTACCTGCTGTTCAAGAGATTGTACTGTTGTTGTATTCGATCGTACTTCCTAGAGAATAGAACTAGTGTCATAAAATAGAAATAATTAATTTAATTTACTCGTTGAAAAAATGCTCGATTTGTTTCAAAAGCAAAATAAAGATAAAGAAGCAAAATTGCACAGGGATTAACATAATCATTCCATGCAAGATTAGTGGCAATATATAGTTCACTTGTCGTACAATTATTTGTTACGATTGCTGTTAGACCTGTGATACTGTTAAAAAAAAAAACACACACACACACACGTGAATTAATATATATTCGAACTAAATTTCTTACTTGCTCCATAATGATAATGGTGGTAAAGCTTCTTGAAAAAATGTAAATTGATAAAGGTAAAGAGTAAGTAAATGCAAGCCCGTATAAATGACTAATAAAGCACGAACTAATGCAAATTTTTTACCAAAATTAATAGATAATGACCATAGAAAAGCAATAATAAGAAAGAAAATAAAATATATGGAATTGATTATACTTGGATAAACAAATGCAGCAAAACCGACAATAATAAATTGAATAAATAGACGTATACGTCTTACTATTGATAATAATCGTGGCCAAGAATTTCTTTTAGTTGTTGTACTGGTACTACTATCTATTGATGGTGATATATTTATTGTATCCGATGTTATAGAAGTTTGAATTTCATTTCTTTGACGTCGTCTTAAAATTATTAATGTACGTCGAATAGTAAAAAAACATATTGTCGATATAGCGAATATGATAATATCAGGAAAGATTAATCGTAAGATTCGAATAGCATTGGAATTATCCAAACTTAAATTAGAGTAGAAATACAATAGTTTATATTTAAATAAATATATTTAACTTGAAACATACCGTTCTAAACCAAAATATCGTAGAATTTCAGTAGTTTTAGTACCTAATAATAAAGTTAATGCAAAATTAATTTAATTTTCGAGCAATTCTTTTACATACAATTATTAAGTGTATGACCATATGGTTTATTTGCAAGAAGAATTGATTGAAAGATTACTTGAGCAATAATTGCGAGAAGACTAATAAGACCAGCAACAAGAATCAATGAACGAAAACGAGCTAAAATATGATTTTCAGTATGCATTTATAAATTTGAATATTTTTTACTTCGAATATTTCTTTTGTTAATCGTACCCAAGCATGGAACAATAAGTAGAAGAAAACCATAGATAAATGAAACAAAAGAGAACCGGAAAATAGTTCCTAAAATGTTTTTAGTAAATTAATATATTAATTAATATAAAAACAATAGAAGATTTTATTTTTACCACTGAGCAATGCAAGAGGAAGAAGGATAAGTAGAAGACCAAACAAGATTGACCGTATCATTAGTGATAAATTCCTACAGATAGAAAACAAAAAATACGAGAATAAATCAGTTTATGAATAATAATTATCAAATCATTTTTTCTTTCTACCTCTAACGTTGACACATTTGAATACAAAAACAAAAAAAATAATATCAAAATTTCGATAATTTGTAGTTTGATTTAGTTTTATCACGTCAACAAAAATTCCGAATGTTAACGATAATGTCCGATGTCGGCAAGAAATTCAGTCACGTCTACACTAAGTGTCTATGTGATATACTTTACCCTTGACTGTTAATCTCTAGTAATATGTTTCTCTTCAAAATATAAATGCTACACAAAAAATAACAATATAAACGAAAAAAAAAAATGGTGATTAACTAATCACTAATCAGTATATGGTGAATAGTCGCCTATGATTCATCACACCTTTTTTCGCATGACTATAATCACTTAAGGAGTCTAAAAAATTTAAAACTATTACTCTTTCTACTATCTATTTCTTTTTGTTCTATTCAATCTGACACCATAGTTTTGTTTTTTGACGTCAAGAAATAAGCAAAAGAAAAAGAATACTAATTTGATTCTATCAAGCAGACATATTTTTAGAAAAAAAAAATACACGTTTTACTAGATGTATTGATAAAATGATTAATTATTCTAATAAAAAATTACAATTTCACTGAAAGACATAATCATAGTATTTAAACAAAATTTGATCATCATGAATGATAACTGATTTCTGTCATTTATAGAAAAATGTCTTACTTCTCTTCGACTACTACGGGTAATGAAGATATTAGAATAGGATCAGGAGATGATATAGTCGAAATATTTCTTGGAATTTCGACATTATTATTTATTGGTGATAATCGTTCAGCTTTAGATGAAAGGAATTCTTCTTGTTTTGCTGGTATTGAACGACTACTAGATGCATAATATTGATCTTGATTATGATCATCATTCATTGTTTGTCTTCGTCTTGGTTGTGAATCTTGAAGTTCGATGTCAAATCTATCTGTGGATGATGATTTTCCACTGATATGATCATTTGAATTTGAGTAGATTTTATTCAAATACATCATTGTATTAATGATGTATATACAAAAATAGATGAATCTATTTTCTTTAGTATACTAATTGAAATAACAAAAAAATATGAATGAAGAATGATAGATGAAAAAGAAACGATAGTTACAATCTGTCTTGTTTTTTCTATTAGTAATGATGGAATCAATGGTAGTGTATACAGATGAATGTAGGCGTTGAAAAAATTACAGATGAGAAGAGAAAAAAAGTATTTACAAATGACTTATGCATTCTCTTGTTTCTGTCTATCGGTGTTTTTCGCACTTAATGAGTGGAGAGGCGTAGAGTTTGTAGACATTTGTACATACTAACTAACAGAAGTATTCGTTTTGTGTTCTTTACTTTTCATTTTTATTTTATGATCTCATTTAGTATCATAAATATATATATATATATATAGAAAAACACAATATAAGATTGAAGTGATTCTATGATTCAACACTCAATTCACTATTTATCTTACCTATCAAGGCTAGGATAATTATATTTGTTGAAATGTTGTGACTGTGTTGGTGGAAGAATTATTCTCCGTAATAAAACTATGTACAAGCAAAGGAAAATAAGAAAAATAAACCACTAATCTACAAAGACCGATAAGGAAATTGGACTTGTTATATCATTTTCTCTTTGTTTTTATTTATTAAATATAACAAGATAGTTTTATTTTGTTTTCGGATCTTACAACAACAAAACAAAAAAAAAATTTAAAAAGAGAAATGATCTTTTTATGTTCTTATTTTAATGTATCATTTTGTTTTCAATGATAATCAATTGTAATAATTTATTGTTGTTGTTGTTGTCGAGCAAGTTTTTCGGCTACTTGTCTGGCTATTGTATCCATATTTTTTCGTCCGAATTGTGAAAGTACACGACCACCTGATGCATGTTTTTCGACAAGTTTTGCTTTTTCAAGTGATTGTATACATTTACGGACAACACTACGTGAACCACGTTGAAAATGAGATGGACGTACACCTTTACGTTTTCGACCACCATAAACGCGTGTAAAAGCACCAACACCTGTTCGACGTAAATAAAGAAATCGTGCAATTGATGCACATCGTGTATAATACCAATCTGGATCAACAGGAGCCATTTCTTTATGAATACCTAATTTGACAATGTCGACCCAATTACCAGATGGTACTTCAAGTTTGCCAGTTTTTTTAAGAAATTCAGCGAATGCAATAGTAAATTGTTGTTGATCAACATCTTTGACGGAGCCACGATCAATTGAATCCATTGTTGTTTGAATGTTTTTCTCTTGGATTCTGTTTGAAAGACAGGAATCTAAAATTTATAAGAAGAATCTTTCATATTATTCATTTCGTTTAATGTGAAATATACTAATCAATAAGATCAAATACAGATAACACAAACTACTAAAAAAAGTAAATAAATAAGAAATGCTTTCATTATTATGCCAATGGCTTTCCTCCTATTAGCCATCGGTCCATTCACAGACATCGATCCTCTGAAGAATACTTGAAAAAAATCTGGCTATAAGGCTATAATCAAAACCATTAAAAACAAAAAATTTATTTCTAGTCTAATTTAATCATCATAGTAAAGTATAAAATTGATTTCATAACAATTCTATAGATGTCGTAAGTCGACGCATCGTTACGTTCAAACCATTATTATATATTTGCTATGTTAAAGTTCCTTTAAAAGAAAACATAGATAAGTATTCTTGAGTTCTTTTTAATTACTATTCAAAATCAACAATAGAAGTGAAACTATATTAAAATAAGTCAAGAAAAGTTATACTGTGTCTATTGTCTTGTAATATTTACAATACAAAAATTTTTTAGATACTAGATAGCATTGGAATTACACTCGACTACGGAATTCATTTCGAAGCTCGAATCCTATTTATTGCAAAAAACGGATATCTCATAAAAAAATGAATAATCGTGTGTATGATTATTCACCGGACCTTCCATTGACAGTTTGCATAAAAAGAGGAAAGAAAGAGGATTACACGAAGAGCATGATTTTGCTCATACCAAGATAATAAAAACTTGCACAGAGGTTAAATGTCGATAAATTAGGGCGTTGTTAATCTACATTCAATACTAAGTTAGAAACACCAAAAAATATGAACGATTTTCGATTGTTAACTTTTATTGTCTTAAAACTCGTGAATCTACTGAAGTCTGAGTGAGAGAACTACAGAAAAGCAGACAAATGGCACAGGATTTGCTGTATAAGTATTTGACTGAAAAGGCATTAGACAACGTGAAAGTGTTAGTTTATAAGAGTATTTGAGAATCTTATAGTATTGAGTAAAAACTTTGAACTATTCTTTACCATCAGTAGAAAAAAACCACTTTATTCAATAGAGAACCATCATGAAGCTATAAAGTTCTCTTTTTGGTTAATAACTTTTCGAACATATTGCACTTTATTTGATCTTATTAAATAAATGAAATAGTAATTGTTACATGAGATTGAAAAGTGCATAACAAGACATACGTTTTTACCGTAGATCCTAGGCAACGGAGTGGCGAAGAAGAGCGTATATAAAAAGTCTTTCAAACAAAATGGACCTCTTCGCATCTTAGTGATATTTCTTTTGATACTTGTTTGTTTAGACTTTGTTTCTTTTTAAAACATTCGTCTTTTGATTCTCTAGAAAATGGCATAATTTTTACTAATGTAAACAATATTCATCATTTTCCAAAATATTGTTGAAAAGAATGGGTTAAGATGAACAATTTTCTAAAATTACTTTTCTTATCAAACGTTTTTCGACTGCAGATTTCACTTCTTCGTTATGAGTGTTTTTCAATATTACTTTTTTCCAACTGATACACTGAACTGATTCGAATAAAATCGAATTATCGAATGCTTTTTAATTTACATTATTTGGTTGCTTATTGTCTTTATCGATCAAAGTGAAAAACTTGTGGATGTAGGCTTAGGTGTTATAGAATAACATTCATACCAATACGTCACACACACAACTACATCCACTCATATTACGATTTACGAATTGCTGACGCAAAGAAATATGAATCATGGTACCATCTAAAGAATCATATCCAACCATCCTAAATTTAAAAAGATTACGTCTCACTAGGTACCATAACAGCTGACCTTAAGGGTGATCATGAAAGATATATGATCTGAATTACAGACTTGATAGGTCGTTCTTTGTCTTCAACGTCTTTTCGACCTTCATAAAACTATTCATATCAGGGCTCCGGATGGGATGGGATAGGACGAAAAAATCGTCCCATGGTACGAGTTGATTCGTCCCATCCCATCCCGTGGGATATCTAAATTTTTTTTTCCATCCCATCCCATCCCATGGGAACCCATGGGACAGACATCTACTGAAAAAATATTAAAATTTATTGAACCAATCACCATGGTAGTCATATTGAGTCCTTTGATATTCTTCCTAACTATTTCCATATCGCCACTTTATTTCACATTCAATTTCTCTACTATTTATATTAATTCACATGGTTCTTTTCGAAAAAGATACTGCGCATCTTGATCAACACTAATGAATAAGGTAATCAACTTATCGAAATTTGTTAAGATAGATTTCAATTCGTCAGGCTCTGCTCGAGTCCAGAATTGACGTTTCTTTTTTGAAACATTGCAGCATAATGTTTTGAATCACTAACCAGTACTAACGATGCTTCTCTCGGGCATCGGAAACTTGATGTATCATATTCTGATGATTTTCGTTAGATTTCTCAGATTTTTTAAGGCGGTTAAAGATTATTACATATTGTTGCACTATTCAAGAGATTTCTTCAAATGTTCACGGATTTCAATAAAATATTAAATAGTTTTAATCCAACAGATTTGATTTAGATTTGCTATCCACTAATTAGTTTTCTCTTAACCATAAGCTTCCGAGAGTTGTATCGAAAATTGATTTGAAGTATAAGTTAATTAAAACATGTGCTCTTGTCGTTATGTCGTGATGAGTAGTGCCAGGAGTAGTATTAAAAAATAAAATAGTACAAAACACATGAAACTCAGAAAGAAATTACTTTGTTTTTAATAGTTAGTACGGTTTGTTAAAATGTTATTTTTATGCACGAGAGAATTTGACTTTATTTGAAAAGAAAATGATAATAAATAGAGTCTTAGATTTTTTCAGCCTTTTTTAATAATAGTCTTCATCATAATAATACGTAGTAATACGAATCTAACACACTTATTCGTCATAAACTAAATTTCTTATTCATGTGTTATGCTCATACCAACTACGTTAACGCAATCTTACAGGATTGAAAGTATAACTTATTAATATTTGTTTTAAAATAAAATGATATCCTCTATGGGTAAAAACGATCGTTTCGTTTCGATACTCTGAAAGCAACAACTAAGAAATGCAAGATAATTCATTATTTAGTTTTATATAAAATGATTTTTTTTTTCTTAAAAATGGTACAAGAGAGTCAAATGTGAACTCATTTGTGTTAAAATAAAACAGATGTAATAAGGAAATTATGAAGTCTATCTTTCTCCACTTTTATAAAGTAGCTCGAACTAATATTTCTACAGAAAATAATGTGCAAATTTTACTCAAAAATAAAAAACACAAATCCCATGGGATCAAAGCTTTGTCCCATCCCATCCCATGGGATTAGCGATTTATCCCATCCCATCCCATGGGATATTTGAAGGAAAAAGTTGTCCCATGGGATGGGATGGGATGCGATGGGATGGGATGGGATTGTCCCATCCCATCCGGAGCCCTGATCAGTATATAAAGTGGGTATCAAAATTATTTCAACTACTAAATAGTTTTATATTCGTTTGTGTATATCTCAAAAACTAGATGAATTAGAATCACCTAATGTTCGTCAGATTATAGCCTTCAGTCTTTAGTATACTAGTAAGAAATTTCAGATGAATCCATTGATTTGTTTAGTTTTATCGATGATACAATTATAGTATGCCGTTTTTCATTCTTCCATAAATATCCAACCACCTATTTTTACAAACTGTTAGGTACCTATTCTTA